AGTAGTCTAGATATATAGCCTAATACGCAGCCTAATATATAGCTATATAAGGATCTACCTAGACATGTTCATTGGGTTGGGTAAACCCATACCCAACCTAACCCAACCCACAATGGGTTGGGTATGGGTCCAAAATTTTACCCAAAACCCATATAGGTTGGGTATGGGTTTAATCCTATACCCATACCTAACCCATAAACCCATTTTTTTGCCAAGCCCTATCCTTCACGTGATATACATAAATTATGTGTATTTTTGGAAATTTATGCTGAATCATGATGTATTAATATTCTATATTTTATTATTAAGTAAAGTGAGCGCCGAGATAATTATTATTTTAATCAAAAAAAAAGTAGAATTAAAACTTAAAGTAACTTAAAGTATGAAATATTATTATAATCTATTCTAAATCACGATTCATCATCTATAGTAATATCACCATCTTCAACATCTTCCTCAGCTTCCTTGCTATCATAATCTAATTCATATAGAACTATACCTTTCCCCGAATTTTGTTCTGTGAACCATAGTATCATCAAGTCTTTAATAGTCTCTGCTTATAAACAACCATGGCGATAATAATAGATATCACGCGCTGTGTTGAATAGCTGTTCTACACCTACTCCGCTAGCAGGAATAGCAAAATAGTCCTGGGCGATTTGAGCAAGTGTTAGAAATTATCTAGTGTTATCCTTCTAGAAGCGAAGTGTCTTTATCGTTGTATCTTTATTAATATTAGTATATTTACTTAGTAAATATTTATGTTTAATATTACTTACCTAAAGTCCGAAAGTATAAATACCTTATAAGTTCATCTTCTGATGGTGAAGAGGTGTCCTAAGTTAGTATAAAGGGATCCTTTTTTTTAGTTCGCTTTCTCTTTCTTGATATAGCCTCTGTTTAGCTTAGTAGGTTGGCTGGATTCTGAGATTGATATTATACTAGCTGCCTCTCTAGACTCTCCTAATATATCCTCTTATAATTCTGACTTTGATCTATGGTTTCACCAAGATATTCCTTTTCTTGTTCCTAGGAATCTCCATCAAATACTTTAAGTCCAAAATCTGGCGTAAGTATAGTTATAGTAGAATAGATCTTTCCTAATGTCTTATTCTTCACCTGGCCATAGTACTCTATAAGTTTCTTGTGTGCTATATAAAGAGACTAAAGTATTTCCTTTTATCTAAGCTTTAGAGGTCGCCGCTTAAGTTATTCAATCTAGGTTTCTAGGTGCTAAAACATCTGATTATATAATAGAAAGACGAAGTGGGTGGTTACTTTCTTTATCTAAGAGAGATGGCGAGTAAAATCAAAGAAGGGTTCCGTGATCTTAAGTAAGTATTCCACTTACTCCTACTTATCATCGTAAAATACTAATAGTATAAGCTGCCTCTTGATTTTCTTGTCTATGTCTAAGCATTCAGAACAATATTAGTTTAGGAATTTCTAAAGCCTTTTTATATGTTAGAGCATTTAGTATATCGAGTTCTACTATATTCGAACATCTTATATAGGAACTAGAGCTTGGTTGGTTTAGGAAGATTTAGATTATAAAGATAGAAAGGCTTCGCGGTGTTAAGGACTAGCATTAATAAACTAGGTAAGGGCTCGAATCTAATTATAGAGAATCATTAGTAAAGGGGAAATATATAAGCATATACTAAGTATTTGCTTAGTATATATTAAGTAAAGGTGTTATATATATAACATAATTACGACTATGTCTTAATTGCGACTATGGCTTAATTACGACTATGGCTTAATTACGACCGTGGCTAATTTGCGACCACGGGAAATATCTGAGGAAAAATAAGGAAGAACATATACCTTATACAAGGTAGTTGAAATCTTTCTAACCACTCTCTTCTTAAGAGCTTCCTCTATATCCTCCTTTTTCTATTAAGATAGAAGTATGTTGTTTTTCGGGGTAGCTTTCATTTCCTTCATGAGTTCACTAAGAGAAAGCTATATAATATGATAAATATAAGGAACACGAATAATTAGGACTTAGGGTAACTTTTCTGCTAGTATATCTATTGTCTCCTTTATTTGCTTCTAAAGGTATTATAGCTATACTATATCTATCTTCCTTAGATGATTTACCTCATCCTCGGAAGAATCTATATCACTATCTTCTAGATCTCCTTCCATAATTCCTCGGATATCTCTTAAAAGATAAAATACTAAGGTGCTATTATTTAATATATTATCTATTTATATTAGAAAGTCATATAGAAATAGAGAATAATACCTACTAGTAGTAATGGTTAACACTCGTTGCTTAAGCTTATATTGCTTAAGTACCTTAAGTACTATAGAGGCTAAGTATTATCTAGAATATGCTCTATATAATGGTTCGAAGCCTAGCAGGACCTCTTGATACTCCTAGTCCTTATCAATAAAGTAGTATATGACTACTAAAAACGCTTGTTTAAAGGGCGACGTCTAATAATCTAAGCTAAGAGATACCTTCGTAGTAGATGGAAGCCTCTTAATAAGTTGTTTCTGGACTTCTTCTGCTTTATTTTAGCTTAACCATTTAATAGTAGATCTAGATAGATCTTCAATTAAGTTAGGATAACTCTTATAAAACTCTATCAAATCCTTAAATGATGGAGATTTAATAAACTTGAACGGGAGGGATTGTTGAACAACTATTAAGAGGACTTTCTTGCGATAGTCATGTTTAGAAGGGGGAGCTTTTAGAGGATTTCTTGCCTTTATTTGAATCAGTTTAATTAGCATCTACTATCCTTTTACTAAGTAGATATAAAGACGTACCATATTTTAAATGCCCTAGAAAATAGAAGCTTGATATATAAAGCTATTGCCTTGTGCTCCTTGATAATGCTTTTTATGGCGCTATAAGGAGCTTATTCTAATAGAAGCTCTGGTCTTCAAAACTCTTTCACCTCCTTCTAATAAAATAGTGGTACTAGGTCTGAAATTAGGATGGCGAAGGAGTTTTTTATAATGTTTATATCATATTTTTGGCTCACCACCCCTAAGTATAGAACCTTGATCAAAATTAGTCCACGTGTCACCTTTCTGCTCTTACCAATTCAAAGTCCCTTTTTGTCTAAAGTCTGTAGCTAACTACCACTTAATAAAGTCATCCTTAGTCGTTATATCAAAGAATACAAAGTCTTTAGTTTACCGAATTAATTAGAGAGGTTGATGCTGATTGGTAAAGGGTGAACAAGGTAAGGGGGCGGCCTGGATCGGTGAACTCTGGATGAAAGTAGTATTAATAGAGGTGGTTTCTGAAAATATGTATTCAGATTATGCCTTAAAGGCAGATAATGATAGTAGATCTGACTCTATTAAATAGTTAGAGATCAACCTATAGTAAAGATGGTCATATTATTTAAAATTACCTAGAGTATTGATAATTTATTATAGGAAGGTTAGACCACTACTAAACTTGATGTAGCTTAGTAGGATACATATTCACTTATGCTTCATATATATAAAATATATGCTAAGTAAGTATGGTATAAAGTAAAAATAGAATGAAAGAGTAGTAAATATAGATCAAAAAAAATGGAAATATATAAAGAGAACTAAAGAACCATATTTAGTAGTCGAAATAAGCTCTTATAATAATAGGTAATAGGGTTAGCTAATGATATATAGGTCCAAAAAATGAGTTTCTAGTAAAAAAAAAAAATAGATCTAGCTAGAATCGATCTAGTACCTTGTTCGTCAACTTATTAAGTTAGTCTAAATAGGCTATTATAGTATTCTAAGTATAGAGAGACTTATTATTACTTTAATATTCCTAATTTCAAAAATTGGTATTAAATACTCTATGAACAATTAAATACTTCAGTTTTCTATTCAAAACTTAGTCCTAGCACTCTTCTTTCACTATTTTTAGCATGTTTTCTAATTTAGTAGTAGATTCTTTAATAAGAACAATATTTATCTTTTATTAAGCCTATAGAGGTAAGCTGACCATAATTATTCTCTTTATTAGAAACCACTATGGTTCTAAGGTTTAAATAATATATTTCCCTATGATTTTCCCTCTTCCTAATTCATATTCTATCATCTATAGAACCTTTACTAAGTCTTACTATATTATCTACTTAAGAGTTTTAAGCTTTATTACCAAGATGCCCCTCCGCCCTATTACCCTAGGATACCTATACTAAATAGGCCCTAATAGAGAGTTCTTCCTTTTAGATGATATATAGGATGCCTATAATCCTGACTTTAGATAGGGATATTGTTATAGTATGTTATAAGACATATTATTCGAAATAACCTTTTTACTAACTATTTGGAAATCTCTAGGACCAATCGAAGATCTAAATCTAGGCTAGAGACTATAGACCTGGCGCGATCTTAAGGACCTAACAGAGCCTATCCTTATTACACATATTAAAGAAGATATTCGAAAGGGTCTTAGTCCTCTAAATCCTATGCTTCCCTGGTCTAAGGTTAATACCTTAGTATATCCAGTTATTATAGAAAGAGGTCAGCAATATAGCATCACCTTCAAGGATAACGGCATAATGAATCGGTATTTTCATGAGCAATATACTGGCTGCTATAAGACATATATAAAATATTTACTAAGGCATTGCTAAGTATATCTAATATCTAGTTTTACTACTAGATATAGTAGCGATAACATCTAAGGAGAGGGCGGACTTACACAAAATCCTCGCGCGTTATATGGTGAGTACCGACTAGTGTAACGCCCATTTTCTTGCCGAACCCGGTCGCAGCCTAATTAGGAGCGATATTAGTCAGTTCGCCGACGTCTGTAGTTATCTTACATAAGTCATACCTTCATATTCCCTAATAATAAGTATGATTATACTAATATCTAATTTTCTCTAAGTCAAAAATATCCCTCCTTTAAATAGTAGTAGGGTGAGGATTTCCATCGGGATCATGTTCCAAGAGCAGCGGTAACCCCTTATCAGCATCGTATTCGGGGACCTGCTCCCCCATAAGTAGCTCCAATTATTACCTTAAATAAGCTACTAATGACTATAATCTATCGAAGTCCTGGTCGTGGTGATGAATATGATGGTCTTGATGATAATACCTTTCGTCAACTTATGGCGACTAAAGCCCCAATATAACAAGTAATATATGATTGTTTAACGGTCGTATTTCACGCTTAGGAGACAGCCCTATAAAACGATTAGACAGCTTTATTATAGACAAATCAAGCAACTGCTCCATCTCTTGATAGCGTCCGTCCTGCTATAGCTAATATTTTATGGAATGCTTATGCTAAGGCTTATCTTACGCTTCATGGTGTTCGACCACCACTACTAGAAGCTCGACCACTAACTCGAGCACAACGTCGGCGTCAAGCACAACATCGATGTGAAAGACAAGCTGCTCGTGTTCATGGTGGCGCCCCTCCACCTAGCGATGATAGTAGTGGTGGTGGTGATGATGGCGCCCTTCTACCTAGCGATGGTAGTGGTAGTAGTGGTGATGCTAGTTAGTGTTAAGTTATTAGTATCAAATTTTGAATGTTTGAATTTTAATTATAGATGGTATTGATTAAAATAACAAAAATTACATATATTATAATATATAATTAGCTAAGTAAACTAGCTCTATTTCAGACTAGCGTAAGGCATTATTAAGGCATTAAGGCAACTAAAATACCCATATGGGACCCATACCCAACCCATACCCATATAGGTTGGGTTGGGTATAGGTATGGGTTTGCCTTACCCCTGATGGGTTGGGTATGGGTATGAATTTCGACCCATACCCAACCCATGCACATGTCTAGATCTACCATTTAGCGTTATTATCGACAATAGAGTGTAACGGCGTGGGTTGCACGAAGGCTGAGAGAGGTAATGGACTCTCTACATAAGCTGGCTGAACCAGCTATCAGGGAAGCAGGGGTTCCCCAGATAAGCTAGTTAGAGATTTACCACCTCCTGATGTATTTAACTCTCTAAGGTCTTTAGACTCTTGAAGGAGTTCAAGAGTTGTTCTTGTCCCCAATTTACCTTAGTGGAGTTGAGCCCTTTAGGATACCACACCCACACCTCCGTCCTCTAGTAGCCTTCTCATAATAGTTCTTCTCTTGTTTACGGTAGCCCAACCATATTGGACTTAAACCATTATAATTATAACTCTTCTCTCTTAAGCAACTGAAGACCCTTGAGATGGCTCCCACCATAAGGTAACGAGGAGCTACTCAGGACTCCACTCCTGAAAGAGGACTTCCGGCCATAAAAGAAGAAGCCCGACCTCCTACCGAACTAACCTCTGATTGTTCAACTCTCCCTAGCGATCCCTAGCCGAATATGGCCGAAATTCTATAAACTATCCACCGCCTAGAGGGAGAAATCCAGAAACTAAAAAACCTAGTCCTAAACCCTCAAGACTTAGTCAACTCGCTAGCTGGCTTGGCCTATAGCGTCGCCACCTATAGAAATCCTAGGAACGCTAGCACCCTTATAGGGATCCGACCTAGAGAGTTTCTCGATTCAACTCTAAGTCACCCTTCTTCTGATTAAAACCCTCGTCGGACCCCTTAGATAGGCAAGAGCCCTTAACTCAAGTTCGATGGCCTCGAAAAATTCGATACCTCCTTCTCCCTATACTAGAGATCTATATAGTTTAGAGATATAGAAGGAACTGTCGGAACATGGATATTGCAATCATGCAATACCATAAACCCGGAACGGAACAAACAGACCCCCGAGTCACGGGGGAACAACTATATTAGGAACTCAAGTAGCTACATGAATCGAACACATTTCACACCACTTTGCACAACGTATATACTAAGAATCTAGGACGAACCATACCCTTTTCCAGTGTATATAGTGCAACGTGTGAACCCTGTCCTTTCAACGTAGTTGATCGACAGGAACTTTCTCTCGAGCAGACTACATCGGACTACTAGACTATAATAGGATCATCTCCTCCCTCTAATTCTTTAAATAGGAGGCTAGGTCTTGTTATTATAATATAACTAAGTGTAACAGGTTGAATCCTGGTGAACTATCACGTGGTTGTACCACGTGACCCACCAACCGCATACCTCACGATTCCACCCCGAATTGTTCACGTTCTTCAAGGATTTTGTAAATAGCATGTGCCTAGCTAGTTCTGAATTCAAGATTAGCTTTAGCCCTTCACACTAAGCATCTACTAATCAATAATCCCCTCTATTCTAACTAGGCTACCTTTAAAAACTGGACTAAATGCTTATGCCAGAAGTATGTAGTCGCCCCTCTACTATCCTAGAGAGCTTATAAGAGAGCTAGATAGCTCCTAAATCAGCACCCGCTAGACTTCGATAGGCACCTTAAAAACCTTAAGAATGAACTTAATCTAGTTAATCATTAATCTAAGAAGAATAGGGCTATAAATTTCCTCTCGAAGTACTAGGATAAACTTTAAGACGATATGATCTAAAGATAGGGAGAGAATAGCCTACCTACTATATAATATGAAATAGTTAGCGCCTATTTAGTTATATAGGAACTAAAAAGCTAGACCCTAGATTAAAAAAGACCCTATTCTAGCACCTAGTCCTTAGAGAACTCTTACCTAAATAAGAAGAATTGTACTAGAAAGGATACTGTCGATCAACTACGTTGAAAGGACAGGGTTCACACGTTGCACTATATATACTGGAAAAGGGTATGGTTCGTCCTAGATTCTTAGTATATACGTTGTGCAAAGTGGTGTGAAATGTGTTCGATTCATCTAGCTACTTGAGTTCCTAATATAGTTGTTCCCCCGTGACTCGGGGGTCTGTTTGTTCCGTTCCGGGTTTATGGTATTGCATGATTGCAATATCCATGTTCCGACACTAGAGCAACTTTAAAATCTCGAGTCGCTATATACATGGATCGATAAAATAAATGAATGTGGATAGGTGCACGATATGCCCCCGAGTGCCCTGTATATTGTATCTGTTGGGTGGCCGATTTTTGTTGAAGAATCAGCCTTTGTGTGGGGTAAGGAAAGTAGTAAGTAGGAAAAAAATAATAAAAAGTGGATAATACAAAAGTGGGCTTTTCCTAGAGAAGCCAGTCTCTATTTCGTCTTCTATCCGTGGTCCTCTCTAGCGGCATTTTACTGATCCCCTGAGATCAGAATGGCAAATGGTATTCTATTACCTTATTCATGATAACGGCGGTGTTCGCAGGTTGAGCCGTTGCTAATTCCTGGAAAAAGGATAATATGGCGGACTGCCATATGGTGTACCCTCCTTCTAAGGATTCTAGTCTATATAAGGTGTTCGGGAAGCGAACCAGATATGGTAGGAGTCTGATTCAGGTGTTATGCTTTTCCCGCTGGACGGCTATGTATTCCCTGATGAGCTTTAGGTCATATTTCTTGTCCGTTTTGATCCCTGATTCCATCGAGTAGATTATGATTAGCTATCGGAATGCTATCATTAGGTTACTAGCTGCCGCCTAGGCTGTTTCGGGTGTGGTTTCTGCCTAGGTGAACGCTGCGTTGGTTGCTCCTGGTGTGCCAAATAGTGCCGATAGTCCTTGACTTATATATGTTGCGGTAGGGTCTATATTTCTGGTGTAGTCCATAAGTATATGGAATATCTAGCTATTATATTGGATTCCGAATAGTGGTGGGTGATATATGGCTTTGCTAGCCCCTCTATATTAGTTGTATTTCTTGCTAGCTATGGTATCGAAAAGGTAGTTAAATGTGGGAAATGTTTCTCCTTCCTAGTTTGTGTTTTTATGTCTAATGTATCTAATATATGTTATAAACTTTGGCTGTTCTAGTATTATCTATAGGGTTATCGGCGATAATACTATAGCGGGTTCCGCTAGTACTGCTGGTGCTCCTGGGGCTAGGGCTGGGTCTGCTGTTGCGACAGCCGAGAAACAAGGCCATCAACAGACGGAAAGTATTTCGGCCGAAAAAGCTTCTGCCGAGACAGCGACTCCGGAACTGGATTAGTATATCACGGCATCCTTGAACAATATGCATTCATCGTAAACGACATCCTTAAGTGATGTGCATTCGCGATAGTAATGTCCCGTCTTCACCGTCTCTTCTGTCTCGGACGAATGTTGACATTCGTCTAGAGCAGAGGGGCACCCATATACTATAAGTAGCTAGTTCTTTCATCAATGAAAAAGCAGACTTCACAACAACCATAATATTCAGTACTATAGAGACCACTACACTTGGTGGTTTGTCTACGGTGTTGAGTAGTGGTTCGTTGGAACTTACCGTTCTCAGTAACGAGCGATTACTAGCTACACTCGCCAAGCGAGCGACAAATATAAAAAGTTATCTATAATTAGAAAAACCTAGCACGAACTGGCTAAAATCAAGGAGCAGTATATTACCTAACACGCGAGAGATGCCTATATCGCGACTATCTTATAGCTAGAAGCTATATTTAACCTAAGTCATATAGCTTAAATCATTAACCTAATAGCTAATAATATAAATAACCTAGATAAGTGGTTATTATAGTAGATTCAAAATATAGCGAGAGGATTATCATTTATACCATTATAACACGAATCACTCTAAATATTAGTATTTGTGGATATATTATTCGTAAATAACCCGGACCTTATATCGTAAATTGGCTTTATTATTATCCTTATAACCCTAGAAGCCGAGGGCAAAAACGCTAATATCCTATACTAGGTATCTATTAAGTGTAAGAGGGTCACCTAGAGCGTGCTTATGTTAGAGCTATATATAATAGCTAATGGTTTTGATGCTGCTATTGCTATTAAAATAAGCCTAGACCAGATACTAAATACCACCCTCCGACTTACTATTTATATAGTGTCGATCAACTACGTTGAAAGGACAGGGTTCACACGTTGCACTATATACACTGGAAAAGGGTATGGTTCGTCCTAGATTCTTAGTATATATGTTGTGCAAAGTGGTGTGAAATGTGTTCGATTCATCTAGCTACTTGAGTTCCTAATATAGTTGTTCCCCCGTGACTCGGGGGTCTGTTTGTTCCGTTCCGGGTTTATGGTATTGCATGATTGCAATATCCATGTTCCGACATATAGATTCGAAATCCCTATATGACTATCTCATGAAACTAGGCTCTATAATAGAAAAACGACTTATGATTAATATAATAGCACTCTATAAGGTATATAAGCGAAGATAAATAGAGATCCTCTAGATCGAAGGCGACTCTAACCTAGCTAATATAATAACTAAGTTAAAGCCCTATAATATACTAATAAAGTTGATAGACTCTAATAGAATTAACTTGAAAACCATCGAATAGGTTAAAAGAGAGGAAAATCTCTCTATATAACCTACTATATATTAGGTGTAACAGGCTGGTGCCTGCTTTAGCATTCATGCCTGTGCCACTCATGCTCGTCACGTGCCACCCGCACCCGCATCCCTTATATTGCCACATGTCCATAGCTAGTCTCTCTCTTCTCTCTTCAAGCTTAATAAAGACAGTTTGTCGGCATCACTAGTTCTGCATTCAAGATTAGTATTAGCCCTTCACAGGAACAACTATATTAGGAACTCAAGTAGCTACATGAATCGAACACATTTTCACACCACTTTGCACAACGTATATACTAAGAACCTAGGACGAACCATACCCTTTTCCAGTATATATAGTGCAACGTGTGAACCCTGTCCTTTCAACGTAGTTAATCGACAGTTAGGTATGGGTTTACCCAACCTAATGAACATGTCTAAATATTCTTCTATGTTGATGACTTCCTGATTGCTAGCCATAAGACAAAAGCTTAATACGCAAGGCAGCTTGAATCGGAACTCGAAAAAGTATGGGAACTGACTGATCACGGCGACGCAGAGTGGTTCCTGAACATACGCATTATACGCGATCATAAACAATGCAAGCTCTGGCTATGCCAGGACAGCTATATTGATAGTATGGCTACCCGTTTCGGCCTAAATAACCGACCATCAGTGGCTACACCAATGCCAATTGAAGAACTCTTACCTTATGAAGGAACTGCGTCGCCTGATGCGATCAAACTCTACCAGGAAAAGATTGGTTCAATACAGTATGCAGCTACTATAACCAGGCCTGATGTAGCCAAACCAGCCACTAAACTGGCCCAATTCCTGCAGAACCCAGGTCCGCAGCATTCTGCTGCGGCAGATAGGACAATCACTTATCTGTTCCACACCAAGAACAGAGCACTCAGATATGGTTTAGGACACCATTCTGATGACACCTCTGACCCTGATTTCAGCCGAAATAAGGATCAGATCAACGACGTAACCCACCAATCTACAGGCACATCGGCACTAACCATCGCTAGTGACGCATCTTATGGTGACCATAAAGACCGTAAGAGCTCTGCAGGCATGATATGCATGCTCTTCGGCGGCCCTATAGATTGGAAGGCGTCTAAACAAAAGACGGTGACGATGTCCACTACCAAAGCAGAATTGCTTGGTTTATCGGACGCAGCCAAAACACTGGTATGGTGGAAGAGAGTACTAGTCCATGTTGGACTAGAAATGGAATACGACAATATAACTCTCGACTGCGACAACCAGAGAACAGTTGATCTGCTCACTAAAGAGGGAGCATTTGAGACCAAGCTACATCACATAGACATACACCGCAGCTGGCTACGCCAGGAGGTGCAGGAAGGACGTATTAAGATCAGATGGGTCCCAACAAAGCTTATGGTGGCAGATGGCTTCACGAAAATCTTGCCAAAACAGAGATTTGACGCCTGGATTCGTCTTCTCAATTTGGAAGATATAAGTGAACTGCTCTAATCTAGGGTCTTACCCCTAGATTCATTTGCCCACTAGAATCCACTATTCCTTGGTAGTCGACCTCCATTTGACAACCAGGATTCAACCTGTTATAATGCCTATAGAGCTCTTACGATCTTTATGGTCACCATAAGATACGTTACTAGCGATGGTTAGTGCCGATATGCCTATAGATTAGTGGGTTGCGTCATTGATCTGATCCTTATTTCGGCTGAAATCAGGGTCAGAGGTGTCATCAGAATGTTCTAAATGGTCAGAATGGTGTCCTAAACCATATCTGAGTGCTCTATTCTTGGTATAGAATAGATAAGTGATTGTCCTATCTGCCGTAGCAGAATACTATGGACCTAGGTTCTATAGGAATTAGGCTAGTTTGGTGGCTGGTTTAGCTATATCAGTGTAACGGGTTGATACCCGATGAAATGCTCAGTCTCTGGAGAGACTACGCTCCTGGCATCTATGCGGAGCCGAACGAGCTATAAGAACACCCGGTCCCCAGGACCCATTTCCCCCCCTTAGTTAATTCTTCTTGTTTACCAATCGGATCTTTACAGCGTACAAATTCCTGCATTCATCCCGTAACAATCTGTCGCGACTGTTCAGCCATTTGCTGAGACTGAGTTTCAAAGGCTTGGCGTAGCAAGGCAGGGACTTCTTCACTAGACATCTTGTACAAGATAAACGCTCGAATTAAGGGTTGTTCTATGAGGTCTCTACGCATAGGGAATCGGGTTCCCTATGTGTCGTGCGGTAGTCGAGTTCACCTTGTGTGTATCTCGAACAGCTATCGTCGTCTTATCCTACTAGAGCTGAACCTCGTATAAGGGGTTCACGGCGTCTCTAGGGAATCTTCTTATGTCGCTGGAGCCAAGCTTCGTAAGAGGGGCTTGAGACGTCTCCAGGGGTATCCGTACCGCGTCAGAGCTGAGTTTCATAAGAGGGGCTCAAGGCGTCTCTGGGGCAGGCGTGTCGTGCTAGAGCTGAGCTTCAGAAGAGGGGCTCAAGGCGTCTCTAGGGTTATCGCGCAGAGCCGAGCTTCGGAGGAGGGGCTCGAGGCGTCTCTGGGATCTTCGTATCGTAGATGTCCGTTCCGCACGTGGGGATCGAGGACACTAGGTGAAAAGGTTGAGTTAATTCTAATGTTACGGGATGAATGCAGGAATTTGGCAAAACACCGAGATAAAGCCGGATCACAACTCACCCATACTGAACAGCCTCTCTAGTAAATACAGAATTCTGCCATTACGGACAACTCCGCTAGAGTCACTAACGGATATGCAAGCGCTATTTCCCTATATACGAGCGATATGTCCAATCATAGGTCCAACTCCAATACCGCCCAATACACATCCATGGTATCCCACTTGTCCACCCCCTCCGACCGTAAGGCTTGCGTGGACTGGTCGACGGCTCGGATTGCATCCGAGAGCGACTTGTCATCTTCCAACCCCTCATCCCGGATCCATCTCTGGAACAGGGAGGACGAGACGAATTGAACCTCCCAGTGCCCATCTCGCATCCCCCGCACCGGCTGCAGATAACCTGATCGGACCTCGCGCCACCCAAACTGCCCTGCTATAGATACTATCTCCTCCGGTGTCGGTGCGCTACGCACGTTAGGCTCTCGCACGCCATTTGCTGTCGACTTGCGCAATGCATTGAAAATGGACTGTGCGCCCGCCGCTAGCACATGTGGGGTCTGCTCTGGTCGCGACGCCCTCGAGCCATACTCGGCTAAACAGAGATAGCGCACCTTTACGCTGGCGAGGAGTCGGAAGACCTCGGCCATGGCGGTCTGGTTTTGGAAATACCACAAAGAGTGGCAGAGAACCGCGACATCAAAGGGCCGGCTCCTGTATTCGTCATCGCTCAGTAGGCTGGCGATATCGGCACGTCGAAATTCGATCTGCTTGCCCAAAACGGAGGCCTGGATGTGCTTCTGCGATTGAGCCACTGTATAGGGTCCGCCATAATCTGGGGGTGCCGTATCGATGCCAATGATATGGCCGGTGGGGCCAGTGGCCAGCGCAAGCACTAGGCTTGATTCACCTTGCCCGCATCCCACATCCAATACGCGTGAGCCCGGCTTGATCTGCCAGGCGTCTCCAAGAGCAAGTCGATGCTGAAATTTTGGTTCGATGATGGACTCGCGCGTACGCTCATCGTGGAGATAGCTGGCCAGGAGGGTATCCATTAAATTGATAAAACAATATGATAGAGAGTTATTGGAAATGGACAATCATGCGGACTAGCTTCCCTTTAAGGGGACGTAGCAGATGACCCAGGCTCCATATGGCCGCGAATTCCAATTTACTCGATAACGTGCGTCACGGTTGACCGAGCGTCCCGGTTGATCGAGCGACGTATTTGGAACTTAAAAAATCTAAGATTTTCAACATCAACTTTTAACACCAAAACATGAATTAATTATCTATTTAACGCGTGTAGGACACTAGGTATATATATGGCCTTTGGTTCCACAACCTGAACAGGTGACGAGTCGCCTAATAGTAGGTAAAGTAGGCAATGGAACATCTTCTATAGGTTGTCCAGGAGCATCCTCTAGGGATATATATTCAACTCTACCATTCTCCTGAGCAACCACGCTTTGCTGTAATTCCTCCAAACTCCGAAGACTCCCTTCATGGCCTCTGTGCTTCTTGCTAGCCGCTCTCTTTTTTATCTTTCTCTTCGCAGTATTCTCCAATCGCTGAATACGGTCTTCCATCATCATCATCCGAATCGCCATCTGAGTATGCGCATCTTGCGACCGATAAATTTGTTGTTTTAGAGGTGAAGTTAAAGCTCCTGAGGAAGATTCGAGTTCTTTCTTGATAGCAGAATTCGATTTTTGGACTTTCGAGTAGCTCCAAGGCCGATTTGAGTCACTGCTGCTTGAAGAAGTAGGGCGTTGAGGGTGGTCGTGAGGGGGGTCTTGAGGGGGGTCTTGAGGGTGGTTTTCGACCATGATATTCAGCTTTTCTAAAACATGATTAGCATCCAGGGGTACTAAACCAGCGCCCCTGAAGCTATTCACTATAGTAGATGCTTTAAATGTTGCTTTATATGTATAAGGATAGATTTGGAGGAAATCATCCTTATCAATAGAATCCACTCCATTCTGTATTTCAGCACTAATCAGGCCTCTATATACCTTTTTAAGCACCGAAAAACATCCTATATCAAGAGGTTGTAATAGATAGGATAAATAAGCTAGTATACATAGACAAATAATATCGTTGTCCGCGCATAGTTGGTCGAATTCTGGCGTACGATGCGAAGAATGACCATCTAAAACCAACAGAATATATCTCCCTTTCTGGACCAAATTAGGTATAAAGTGGCTTTTCAGCCAATCTAGACCCATTAGATTTATAGTCCAACCAGTTAGGCTAGTGTTTAGTGACCATTTAGGGGGTAGATGGTCAAACCAACACTCCATAAAATGTTTCCCTTTTAGGATGATATAGGGCGGAAGCGCAACACCTTGGGCGTTGATAGTCTTAATAACAGTAACCCACTCTCGATTTCCAGCTTGAAGAAGCCTTCGTTTACCATAGTAATCTGAGGAGCATATAATATACTCTGAAGATATAACACCCATCGCAAATCTAGTCTCATCGAAGTTATAGATATCCTCTGAAAGGATACCATATTTTGTGACTATATTCTGGACGAGATTAAACCACCCTTGGATGACTTATGGATCTTCTGTCTGCGCCCTCTAGATATCAAGCGCCCGAGATTTTCGCGTATGAAGAGATTCGGTGCGTTGAAGGAATCCTGTCACCCAGTTTTTGCCAACTTTAGGGGGGGTGTCGGAGGGGACAATTTCGCGGGTGCGGAGGAGCAGATTCGCCATATTTCGGCACATTTCATGCGAAAAAGCGAATCCTCTAGCGTCTATATCAAGGAGCCATTTTTCCATCGATTTCTCCTCACCTTTAGAGAATTTATGGCGAGAATGGCGAGTTATGGCCTTCGATTTGCGACCTTGGATTCGCGCTTTCAAAGTTGAGACAGGAACTGAAAAGGCGCGAGCAGCGGCAGCAGCAGAGGAGTATTGTTCATCTTTAATAGCCTGAATTGCTAATAAGACTTTACTCTCCTGCTGCTCCAAATCTTTCGATTTTTGAGTGCGAATTGGAGGCATTGTTGGTGTTAGAAAAAGGAGGGTCGATTTCGGGGTAAATATTTTGAGGTGTCGCTCGGCCAACCGGGACGCTCGGTCAACCGTGACGCACGTTAGGATACGCAACTCCGTCAGGCTGACTAAGGCATATGATATCGGAGATCAGAGTTACTTTACATAGATGAGACAGGGGGACAACGCCTCCTTGGGCCAAATAAGATTTTCCCGGAAACTTACACCGATGGCTGCAAGAAACCAATCTGTTCTAGTCACGGTCCCTGTGCGGGGGCAATCAGAACAGCCGATAACAGAACAGCCGATCCAATCGCCGATCAGGTACCGTACGGATACAACAAGTATACCGTATTACCGAAACATAATACCACCTACGAGTTATTGACTACAATCAACCTGCCTGCTTCTCCTGTGTCACATCTTAACAAATGCTAATCGTAAAATATTCTTGCTCCACGCTTCTGCCATTTTCTCAATTTCCTCAGTATGCCCGATATTCAAGCACTGGCAATGAATCTTCTCAAAGCCAGTCCTGCTCGTTACTCGTCCGATTCTGAGGCAAATGAGGAAAACGAGCAGTTCCTACCGCACGTCCCAGGAGTTGAGCAATGGCCAAAAGTTCCTAAACCTCGAACAGCGTTATCGCGGGCTTGCTGGATCGCAACTGTGCTGAACTTGTTACTGTTTCTGGTTTCTGTATATATACTATTCGACTCGCATCACCTACTGCAAGATCTTCGACAGAACAAAAACAACAAATTGGTTAGAGAGGTGGACTTTTTCTGTGAGCTCTGCCCCATGCGCTGCTTTCCAAAATAGAAGCGAAGTTTTTTTTGCGGTTCTACAACCGTGGGCTAACCAAAGAGATGAACACAGCCCCTTTCCTCGATCAAATCAACATCCCCCTCCGCGATGTCAAAGTCAACGGCAGTCTTCTGGATATGGACGACTCTATCTTCCGGGCCCCGCCTTCACCTGAAGTAGATCGCGCCTGGAACCGCATTGGCAGCCTCACACCTCATGTCATGAATGGAGACGATGTTGTGCGGCTAGGTAAGGATCCTACCAAGACCGCCCGCTTCACCGAGGACTTTGGCTTTGGCCCGGATGCGCACATTGCTGAGTTGGACGTCTTGCACACAATTCACTGCCTTAATGCTATCCGCCGGGATGTTCACTGGCGCCATTACTACATCGAAAAGTACCCTACCGGCGAGTTCCCAGAGCTACACCGTATACACACAGACCACTGCCTGTATGTCGTCCTACAAAATTTAATGTGCTCCGCTACACTCGATGTGGTCACCCAGCCCTGGGTGCACGGCCAGCTACACCCGTTCCCCGACTTTAGTATCAACAAAAAGTGCCGCGATTTTGGGGCGATTTTGGAGTGGCACGAGAAAACCACGGTAGGTGATCTGGAGGCGTATTCAGCGCTACGTATGCCTGAGGGTCATGTACCTTACGAAATGTCGGAGGAATTTTATCGGGCTTTTGGGGTTGCGGACGGGGAGGACGAGCATCATCATTGACTTTTTGTGGCTACTATGCTCCGTTTTTATTGTTTTGCGTGGGTAGTACAGAATTCTACTGTTTGACGCTATACTTGTCCAACCAATGGCTCTAGATACGTGGATCTTCATCCAGCATGAGAAGTCTCTCCAACATTTTTTAATGCTTCCAAGGATCTAGTGTCACGCTATTCAAATGTCAAGTGATTTTTGGATTTTGAAATATACATACTATGTACAATATTAGGTGTGAGGATATACCCACATGTGCATACCAACTTTAGATGCGGGTGTCTAGTACACACTACTAGTGTGTAAATGTTAGGTATTACCTACCTAACATTGTTCGAACCTTGGAAGGCGACATCAATTCAATTCTTTGAAGTCTAGCGCTGTTTAGGCTGGAGTGCTTATATCCATATTCTAAGTCATTCAATATTGAAATTCTGTCGTTGAGGGACACCCACCCGCCACCTGGGCGAGCTTCAATCGATGCATATGTACCTAATCATTCAAAGTCACCTTCCAACAGTTAGCTGTTATTATGAAAAATGTCGATTGATCGAGTATTGGAATATATATTCATGCTTTCCAATGTTTTGAAAGTAAAATGTGTCCTAAATTTTTGATTGTACGCATTTTCCAGAAACATTCTTTAGCACTGGTAATCGTGAGGACTAAAAGTAATTCGTCTGTCAACAGATATATATAAGGAGTTTATCAACATTTGAATTGATGTACATATGTATTCACTATGTATTCTCTATGTAAATACCCAGTAGTATGTACTACATACGTATTGTTATATAAATCTTTAAATTGTAAGTTATGTATGTATGTATGTATGTATGTATGTATGTAGAGCCTCCACAACTATGCACATGCGCATGTGGTCTCCGCCCATATATATACACCAATGTTTGGTATAGCACGAACCGAAGTGCTTGAAACATTTCCAAGCTTGTGGGCTGTACTGTCTATGTATGCCTAAGCCAAACCCACTCCACCTGCCTCTGACCGTCCGAGACGGATAAGGAAAATTATCACTGTCATCGCTCCACACAAGACTGCTGAAATCAGGTATGGCATACCCAGCCAGGCTCCACCCATGTTCATGCCCCACCGAAAGGCCCATGCCATCATGGGGCCCGCCAAGAGAGAGCCGAGAGTATCCATAAGGCCTAGGGTGCTGTATAATGCGCCCATCATTGTTGGCTCCATTAGGGAGCTGATCAAGCTTCGAGCAAATGTGCCGAATCCAGATCCTGTGGTATAGATCGCAATTCCTATTAGGTTTCACTAGCATTAGCCGAGGGAAAATCCCGAAACGTCCAGAGTGGGGAAGAAGAGAGCGGAAGTTACCAAACATGGTGAGCCCGACTACCGGGGCAATCCCCATGATCCCAAACCCTATAGTGATGGCAAGGATGCTCACCCGAGCGAGGTAAAGGTCCTTCTTTCGCGGTTCTCGTTCGAAGCGTTTGCCTATTGTGCGGTCTACCCATGGAAGAATGAGCAGGAATTGAAGCAGCTGGGCTACAGCTCGAAAGGAGAGGAGCCAGCTTGTCTGATGAAGGGAAAACAGTCAGCATGTAATTTCAACTTTCTGCCTCTAGAGGGAAGGCAAGTAGGTCTCTCTCGCCACACCTTTGCAATCGGCCAAGAATATCGATTGGATATATACTGTAGGAGAAAACCCATAGAGTCCCGGGCAAATGTCGAAATCAGAAAGGAAATCACGAGAAGTGCGATGTTCTTCTCCGTGAAGATAATCCGCATACTTTTTTTCAGGCTGTGAAACAGGAAAATAAAGTTTCCGGCCTCTTTGAGAGGCGGTTCTAGCGATTCATCATCGTCGCTTATGCTTGGGATCTCGGTATATTGGGTTTTCTGTGCATGGAGAGCAAAATCATTGGTCTCCGGCATGTACCAGGAGAGGAGAATGGAGATAGCACCGCAGGCGGAGTTCAAGAGAATGGGAACCCAGAGATTTCGTTTCATTAACAATGAGGCAATTGGGGGAGCGATTATTTCGGCAATGATCACCGCAGCATTGAAATACATGAAGATCTGCGATCTGATTTTGAGTACTTCGAATTAGTGGTCGCGATGGAGAAATCCCTTCAGGGAAAGACAGCTCACCTCTTGATCTCTGGCGTCGAGTCAGTAATGATCATCATACTAACTGAGCCGGCAACATTGCTTCCCCCTCCGACAAGGAGAAATAGAGATGATAGCCACATCGCTTTGATTGGTAATCCAAACCAACCTATGTTAGAGAAAATAATCAGCGCACTACCTTTGATCAAGAAATTCGATTCGATAAGAAAGCATTAACCCACAAACAATCAAAACCCAGGACATTCCAGCAAACTGCCCCACAAAGCTCAGAGTCATAATCAACCGCCTTCCGTACTTATCTGCAAGAATTCCATATGGTAACGCGAGGAAAAGTCCGGGAATATTGTCGAAGAACGACTGCCATCCAAGTAGCTGGGCCAGGGCAGCCTGAACAGGTTCTTCCTTGCAGAGATGCTCGGGAATCTCCTGTGTTGACACCGGCGACTGAGAATCTCTATAGTACTGCTCGCATATGATTGACTCCAACAGGCGGAGTTGCGGTGCAGCGCTGATGAAATAACCAATGCCCATTAATAAGTAGATCAGAGTACAGTAGATAGCAGGACGCCAATAGACAGTGCTAACGCCATCGTCTTGATCCGATGTTGGGTGCATTGGGAACTGAACACCTAAGGGACGCTCGGGCTCATCAAGCGTTTCGTGATCGGTCATTCTTGTAAAGTAGGATTGAATGAATGGGAAAGAAATCTTCTCAGCACAGAAAAAAAGCCAATATTCTGCAAAGGAAAAGAGGGATTTGGAGGATGTTGAACTAGGGGGAGATTGCGTGAGCACTACTAGACGCTAGTAGAGTTGATTAATACAAAATTAGTACGATACAAGAAAACAGGTCATGACATACCATTACATACAATAACCATTTTTTCCCGTGCCGTACGGAGATCCGACGGCCCCCCCGTCCGCCCGCCCGCATTCTAATGCCAACTTCGGTCTCCAGGTTGCATCTGCGCCAGACTTGAGAAATGTGTATCTTGCATTCTTTATCTCGATCAAATTTTGTACGTAATGGCAATCTCGCCACTGGCAAAGAGCAGTTGAACCGAGGTTTAGCCGTTCACCGCGAGACTTAATCCTAAATTTGGAAATGTTAGCTGTTCCCCTACCACTTCTACAGGAACATCAACACTAGACGCATCTTGTCTTTCACTCATCCATACCCCCAAGTTCTATCTTTGCCAACATTCTTTTTCTTGGAAACTTAAGCCCACAGAGCTATGCTTGGCAAAGTAGAGACTGGCTATGCTCGAGTATCCTCAAGTGATGCAGGACTGGACGAACTTAGGGTATTAGGGTATTAGGGTATTAGGGTATTAGGGTATTAGGGTATTAGGGTATTAGGGTATTAGGGTATTAGGGTATTAGGGTATTAGGGTATTAGGGTATTAGGGTATTAGGGTATTAGGGTATTAGGTA